ACCCCAAAAATATTCCTTCATCAGATTTTTTATCAAACTTACCAAGATGTTCCTTTAGATTCAAAATAAAACATTTACAACCAAATACTTTGAAATAACCAACTGTAGGTTTCTTATCAAAAATCAGCTCATAAGGAGTTTTCTTTAAGATAGGTCTCAAGAGAATTCTATTCATCACATAACATGCAGTGTTTACCGCTTCAGCCCAAAGATATTTAGGCAACCTATATTCATTTAACATAGTTCTAGCAGCCTCTTGGAGAGTCCTGTTTTTCCTTTCTACAACACCATTTTGCTGTGGAGTTCTTGCAATAGAAAACTCATGAGTTATGCCATTATGATCACAAAATTCTGGAAAACCACAATACTTGAATTCTGTTCCATTATCACTTCTAATTCTAACAATTTTTAATCCAAGCAGATTTTGCACTTTAGCAAACAATGGAGTGAAATTCTTGAATGCATCATCCTTATGAGCAAGAAATATTACCCAAGTGTATCTAGAATAATCATCTACAATCACAAAACAGTATTTCTTACCACCCAAGCTAGAGATTTGAGTAGGGCCAAATAAGTCAAGATGCAAGAGTTCTAAAGGTTTGGAAGTAGATACACACTTCTTTGGTTTAAAAGAAACTTTTGTTTCTTTTCCAAATTGACATGCATCACATATTTTATCCTTTTCAAAACTGATTTTTGGCAAGCCTCTAACTAGCTCCTTTTTCGAAATTTCCTTTAGTAACTCCATGTTAAAATGACAAAGTCTTCTATGCCACAACCAAGGATCTTCATTTGAAGCTTTAAGACATGTTAAGCTAGAAGAATCAATTTTATCAAGAACCACAATATAAATGTCGTTGAACCTCTTACATTTGAACACAACATTGTATTTGGAATCAAGTACAATGCATTCATGCTTTCTAAACAACACATTCAAGTCTTTATCACACAATTGACTAACACTAAGCAAATTATAACCCAAGTTATCAACTAAGAGCACATTATGAACAAAAGTTTCACCATCCTTACCAACATCACCTATTCCAATTGTTTTAGCTTTCACATCATCACCAAATGTCACTTTTCCACTTGATCTTGATTTCAGCTTTATGAACAAAGATGGATCACCGGTCATATGCCTTGAACAACCGCTATCAATGAACCATTTGGACTTGTGTGAGCATTTTTCCTGAAAAGAGAAAGTGTTTGGTACCCATTTTAATTTTTGGGTCCATAATAGTTAGCATTATATCAAACTAACCACATGCATTTCATTCCTTTGTTCAGATTTCTTTTCACATAGCAATCACTTTTCAAATGCCCTCTTTGACAACAAAAACCACACATAATGGAAGAGTCCTTAACATGTACTGGTTTGACATATCTTAATCCACCTTTTCTATATGTTGTGAAACCATGTGCATTTTTGTTGTGTGCAAATGTTCTTTGAAAAATAGTAGGATGTGTAGGTGACATGTTCCTTTTGATAAACTCCTGCTTTCTTGCTTTCAACGTCTCATCCAATTTGTCCATTCTCCTTTTTAAATCACCATGTCTTTCCTTCAGCAATTTACAAATATTTGTCTTTCTATCAAGCTCATTCTGAACATCAAATCCGGCTCTTACAAGACATTCATTGTCAGTTTTTAGTTGTTTATTTTGTTGAAGGAGACATGCATTTTCATGAATGAGAAAAGCAATTTTCTGTTTTAGCTGCTTGTTCTTATCATAAGATTCCTTCAAAGCATTATGCAGTTTTTCAACAAATGATTCAAGATCATCATCTTCTTCATCATCACTTTCAGATTGAGAGTGTATGGAAGTTACCTCATTATCTCCTATAGCCATGAAGGCCATTTGAGCTGATTCTTCCTCTTCTTCAACTTCCCCTTCAGAGTTGCATTCATTCCAAGTAATCTGGAAGTTGTTGAATCTTGGCTTTCGATCAGCTTTTCCATCTTTCATTTTCTTCATGGGGCATTCGTTTGCATAGTGTCCAGGCTGTCCACATTCATAGCATTTGTCCACTTGCTTCTTGTTGAATTCTTGTTTTCCTTTGTTCCTTGCATTTGATGAATAATTTTGGAATTGATTGCTAGGTCCTCCCTTTCTGAACTTTCTTTTATTCAAGATTCTTTTGAAGCCTCTTGTGATGAGAGCAAGATCATTATCATCACCATCCGAATCTTCATCATCCAAGTGAGCTGGATCATCTTCACTTTGAGTAATCTTTAGAGCAATATTTCTTTTTGCTCTAGCATCCTCTTCCTCCTGCACTTTTGATTTCAGTTTTAACTCATAAGAGGTTAGTGAGTTAATGATAGATTCAATAGGCACAGAACTTAAATCCTTAGCCTCCTCTATTGCAGTCACTTTATTTTCCCATTCTTTGCCCAATGCATTGAGAATTTTTCTGTTCTTCTCTCCCAAGGTGTACTCTTTGCCCAACACCTCGAGATCTTTGATCAAGTCAGTGAACCTGCAAAACATTTTGTCAATATCCTCAAGAGGTTCAATTTTAAAAGATTCATACTTTGTGACCAAGATGGCCTTTCTCTGTTCTCTCACATTGTCACCACCCTCATGGATTTCTCTTAACTTATCCCACATTTCTTTGGCTGATTTACAGCCTTTCACTCTAATTGATTCATTTGAATCTAAGGCACTATAAAGAACATTCATGGCCTTGGCATTCAATGTGAGGTTAGTCCTGTCTTGAGCATTCATTTCAGCTCTCATTTTTGGCCGAAGCAGCCCTGTATCTGCATCAAGAAAGTTAGCTTCATGCGGTCCTTCACTCACAATAAACCATAGTTCAATATCAATAGATTGTAAAAAGATAATCATCCGTTCTTTCCAGCTAACATAGTTAGAGCCACTGAACATGGGAGGCCTAGTAACAGATTGTCCCTCAACAAACATAGCATGACTGGTTGTCATCTTTACTCCAAGCCGTTAGAGCTTAATCTCAAGGAGACCAAGCTCTGATACCAATTGTAAGTCCCAAAGACAACCAAGAGGGGGGGTGAATTGGGTTATTCAAAATCTTAATCAGATTTAGACAATTTTTGCTAAATGAAAATTTCCTTCTTTTCTAGTAATGATCAACCAAGTAGAGTAGAAGACAAGAGCTATATTGATCAGAAACACAAGTATAAACAAGCAATGAGAATTTTATTAAACAGAAAAGTAAATTTGGGGAATCAAACCAAGTGTCTACCAAACTATCCTCAAACTTGAAGACCACACACTAGGAAGAGCAACTTCTCTTTGATGGAAGACGATCAACTAGATGTACAATGGAGGGAGCACTTCTTCCTTGCCCCAAGCCTCACTTAGTCAAGCTAAGAAGTTTTACAATCACTCAGAAAACCCTCAACAAAGCTACACTAAAGATCCTTTCAATCACAAAAGAAATGCTCACCAGAAATTCACACCACTTTAAAACAAATCTAGCTTTGGAGACTATTTTCTAGCTAAAATATCTCCTGAGATCTGTAAAAAAGTGTGCAAAAGTCTCTACTTCGTTCAGACGCAGTTTGATTTAAAGGAACCAAGAAATGGGCTTCCCAAATCAATGCTTCCACGGATGAAGGCAGCGTGAGAGTCAACTGCCGTTGGGGCTGTCGGACGTCCGACGATCAAATCATCGTCCGATACCAAATCGTCCGAATGGCATCCTAGTTGACGTTCGGACGTCCGATGCGTCTTGATCGTCCGAACACCCGCTCGCAGCGTCCGATCGTAAGGCAGAGAGTTGGCAAGTAGCTTGGAATTTTCGGACGTCTCGATGCGGTTGATGAGCGTCCGATGCAAGCGTCAGATCCTTCCGGACGGTCCGATGCTTCCTCACGAGCGTCCGACAGAGTTTCCTTCTTGATGCTCTTTATCCTTTCGGACGTCCTACAGATTCCTTTCGGCCGTCCGACGTGAGTATCCTGTTTTTGCTTCTTCTTTTGGTTGAAATGCATTTCATGACCTATTCATACCTGATTCTTTGATATGTAAAGACACTTATAATCGAAGAAGGTTAGATACATTTCAAAATACTTTGTGATCATCAAAACCAAGAATAACAGGAACTCGAAAACCTAATAAAATTAGGTGAAAGCTGAATATATTTGATGCTAGTTTGTGCCAATTTTGGACCACATTTAAGACACAATTTACACTTAAATTCTTACTGAAAATCAACACCAAAAGCTTGATTTGATTTGGTGTTTATTTCAGCAAAGAAAGACACAAGACAAAGAAGACTCGAATTAGCAAACTATGGGCTCAACTTAGGAAACTTACGGACTCTTGGACTCCAAAAATGATTTGGACTCTTTGGACTCATTTAAAAGCTGAAAAAAAAAGAACTTAAACACGGACTCTCAATGGCTAGACAAGACTCAAATAAACAAGACACAATTGGCAGAAATTTTGGGATCCTAGAAAACTTCTACCCGACTAGGAATGGTTGAAATTTGGAAACTTGTTTGGGTGACCAAATTTGGGAATTTGTTTGGGAAACTTGGATTCAATTTTCGAAAGGAAAATATTGGTTTAACAACTTTCCTAAGTATGGCTTAACAAATCCAAGTTGGACAAGGTTAATGTGACCAGATTTAGGTAACAAACCAAATCAACTTAATATTCCACTTGCAAGCTTTTTCTTGAGATCTTGATCCGTTTCTTATTCTTTCTTCTTTTTTTTAGTTTTTTTCCCTTTTTTTTCACAGATCAATCTCTTTTTTTTTCTTTCTTTCTTTTTTTTTTCAATGCAACTTGCCACTTCAAGAAACGAAAATTAGCCGCAAATATCCAAGAAGATGAACTAGGGTTTCAAGAATTTGGAAAGTTGAAAACTTTTGTATCAAGATTTCAGGAACCCAACTAGGTGATCCAAGAACTTCAAGAAATTACCAAACTAACTATAAGACTCAAGAACAACAAGAAACAAACACAAGGTATGCAATTTTTTTTTTCGGATGAACAGTACCGCAACAATACTTCGGATGAACAGTAACGACTCGGTGAACAGTGACGCTACAGTAGTGATGAACAGTAACTATGCCACAGTACAACTTTTTTTTTAACTCAAACAACGAATCTAATCAAGGGAGAGAAACGACACAAGGAAAAAAATAAGAACCAAACGAGCGACACAAGGTAATCACAAGATATTCAAACCCTAGAATGATGTACAGTTTTTTTTTTTAAATAAGAAGGATTAGGGTATGGTAGCAAAACAAAGAGAAAAACAAGAAGAAGAAAAAGATATTAACTTGAATCAAGAGTCGAAACTCTAATACCAGATGATACAATCTCGACCCAACAAGAACCTGTCTTCAAGAACCGAATTGATCAGGCAGCAGAAGGATCTATCTTGATCAAGTTATGGATAAATTGGACAGATTATAGACAATCAAGGACCGCTCGAGATTGAATAGAAGGGTAGAATGATGCCACAATTCGACGTGATCTTGAATTGATAAGTCAATTGAAAAACTCAATAATCCTCTCAAGTATTCAAGTTGGATCCCTTGGATAAGAGATGTTGCTAACACAAAGTGTTTGCTGGAAATTTTCTTTCATAATTCACCTCCAAAAAATGTTGGACTTTAAGGCTCTTTTATAGCCTTTACAAAGACTCAAAAGAAATCTAACAAAATTAGAAAACTTCTTAACTAAACCTAACTCAATTCTAACTAGGAAACTAATTCGACTTAAGGCTTAACTATGGTCAACATGACCTAGCCTTTTAGTTAACCAAACTAATGATTCATTTGACTCTTAAGCTAACATGAATTGGACCAACTAACAATACTTGAACCAACCACAACAATTGGTTGGAAAATATCATAAACACATGATACTAAGGACTTAATAATCAAGTAAACACACTAATTCTCAAGAAAGGAATGGCTGGAACGTTGGACTTCATTTACTCAACCATCTTCATGACTTGAATATGAATCATGGATCCCATGTTCGTATCAATCTAGGTCAATCACTATCCACCTTGCCCTGATTTGCCTCTAGGGTTTGGTCAGCATAAGGATGCTGTGGCTTTGACCATTCTTGCTCAAGATGATGTTGGAGGACTTGAAGTAAAGAGGAAAACTGATGCAGAGTGGATTCTTGTGAAACCAACTCCTAACGCTTATATCATCAATATTGGTGGCATTATCCAGGTATCAATGTCACAAAAGACAAATATGGAATCAAAGGCTGATTATACTAATAATTCAGTTGATTATTTTGTCGGATTGTGTGCAAGTGTGGAGAAATGACAAATTTTAAAGTGCGGAACACAGGGCGAGTGTGAATTCTGAGAAGGAAAGGTTTTCCATTCCGTTCTTCTTCAACTCAGCACATTATACTTGGGTTGAGCCCTTGGAGGAACTGATCAATGAGCAAAATCCTCGCAAGTATGAGGCCTATAACTGCAAAAAGTTTTACCTGTTGAAAATTTGCAAATTTGTCATTTCAAGATTGATAACCAAGAAGCTACTATACCGGTGCTTGCTTGTCGTAAATCCGTTGTCAGCTATCCACCTTGCCCTGGAAGACTATTTCTTCAGTATCTATAAACGCGTGAAGACTAAAATAGAAAAGCTAGAATGTAGGATCTCCAGATCCGACATTATGTCAAATGATAATTGTATTGTATTTCTTGCATTGGCTTACTTTTCTATGAAATTAAAATTGACAAGTCAATTGAAACCCACTACTGCTTGGTAACCAGCACTTCACCTGTGTTGAATCCTACTATATCGGAGGATATTCCGTAAAAACTTGAATTGTTCTAAAGATAGCAACCTAGTTTGTACCTCAACCCATACCAAACAAACACTAATGCTACAAATTATTTGCATTTTTTATGCAATATTGGGATATGATAATTTTGTTAATTTTCTTGTTAAGTTTAATTAGAGAAATTATTGTTACTTGTATAATTATTTTACCCCAGAACCAACAGTATGTATTGTCTTTGAGCTAATTGATACCCTTCCTATCTATTAAGTATTAGTTTGTGATTAATTTTTCTTACGTAGTACGTTTGTTTTATGCAAGTTCCAAATTTTTTATGTATTATCTTTGAGTTAATTGCCTTTCTATTAAGTATCAGTTTGTGATTAATTTTTCCTGCGTAATATGTCAGTTTTTTGCAAGTTCCAAAATTTTTTTTGTGTGGTTATTGCAGTTGTCATGTTGGTCTAGCTAGAACCTTTTGAATCAAAATCCACAATCATAAGTGTTAGTTACAATTAATTAAGAACTGATTGTCAATGCTCTTGGCAGCAAGATTCTTCCTGTATTTTTTAACAGGTGTCGAGCCTACGCAATAATAAAATTCTACTTATAAAAGTATATGACTGAGTATAATAGTAAGTAGGGTCGTCTCCACGGGGATTGAAAAATTTGTTTCCTTTCAAGCAAGAATTAAATGGGGGGTTTTCCACATAATGAAAATAAATTAATTCACTCAATCAAAAACGATTAAATAAATAAAATAAATTAAAATTAATCAATAGGAAGATGAGCTCAAGTCAAGGAGAAACTTTAGAAGTGGTTCACGCAACTGCTCATTGATGCAACAATAATTTCATTTATTCATTAATAAACAGGTTATAATTATCAATAAGTTCTGATAATCAATTTTTCCTTACTGTGTCGATAGTTAAGATACAACTGTTAACTATTTTTTTAATTAGCAAATAACCCTAGGTATGACCATAGCTTTTAATCTCTGACGAGATTCTATCATGCAACAAATTTTAATAAGTTAAATACCCCATTTTCTGCAAGTATACATATCATTTATCGAGTATAGGAGATAACAGGTGTTAATTACCGATGGAAGATTATCAATTACCGATAGTTTTCGAACTCCTTTATTATTTATACTATCACAAGTGCAAAAAATTAAATCTACACTACAACATGTAATAAAAGTAATAAAAATAACAATACAAAACTCCTAGACTCATGGAATTCCTTACTATTCTTGCAAAATGAAATTACCAGTTGATTGAATGTTTTTATCTTGACTAGTTATGGTATAATTTCCTAATATATATGAAGCCTACTTTTATAGTGAATCAACTATACTTGTAACTAATCCATACCTACTCTCGTAATTATGAAATTAACTACAAGTTCATTTCTTCTATGAAATTACATCGAACAATCCACCAAAGCCACAAATGTGTACTTCTACTCTCATGAGTGTACTCCCTAGATTTAACATTTCTTTGAACTACTGTTAAATTTCAATTCTTATTGCAAATCTAACACTATGAGATTATCATAATTAATAGCAAATTAATCATGATTAGAAAAACAAAAGTGCCAAATAACTTGTTCAAAATAATAGTATCAAGAAACCAAGTAAACATCATAAATAAAATATAGGAAGTTCATCCATAACTCAAGGTATAAACTTAACAAAACATGAAGAAAATGAAAGAAAAAACCGTACCTATGTTATAGTTAAACATGAAATCAAATACAAAAGAAAAAGTGATAGGAAAGATTTCACCCTTATCACATGAGCTACAATTAAGGCAGTCAAACAATTACTGACGAGATTTTACTCCACACCAAATTTTAATAAAACCTAACTACCCCGTTTTATGCAAGCATACAAATCGTTTATCGAGTATAGGAGTATTAAGTGTCGATCCCACAGGAAAGATTGTCAACTACTAATAGTTTCCAAACTTCTTTATTATTTAGGCTATTTCAAGTGCAAGATATTAAATCTACACTACAAACATGAAATAAAAATAATAAAAATAATAATAGAAAACTCCCAGAGTTATGAAATTCCTCATTACTCTTGAAGTGAAATTATCGGTTAATTGAATGATATTATCTTGGTTAGTTGTGGAATAATTTTCTAATATATATGAAACCTACTTTCGTAGTAAATCAACTATACTTGTAGTTAAGTCATACATGCTCTCGTGGTTATGAAATTAACTATAAGCTCATTTCTTCTATAAAATTACATGGAACAAGCCACTAAAGCAATAAAGGTGCACCTCTACTCTTGTGAGTATACTCCCTAAGTTTAGCATTTCTTTGAACTAGTGTTAAATCCCAATTCTCATTGTAAATTTAACATCTTAAGATTATCACAACTAATAGCCAGTTAATCATGATTAGATACACAAAAGTGCTAAATAACTTATTCAAATTAATATCACCAAATAACCAATTAAACATCACCAACAAGATATAGAAAGTTCATCCATAACTCTAGGTATAAACTTTAGCAAAACATGAAGTGAATGAAAGAAAAAACCATACTTGTATTATTGTTGAACATGAACTCAAATACAGAAGAGAAAGTGATGGGAAAGAAGTCACCGTTATTACCTGAGTTCCAAACTCTCTGTCTTGCTTCTTAATTCTTTATCCACATCTAACTGCAAGATGGATAAACTACACTAACTATACTATACTAATGAACTAAGAAAAACTAGTGAAAACTACATTTTGGCAGTATCTCTGACCTTCCAAAGTTAAGAAAATATGTCTTCAAACCCCCTATTTATATATGAATTCAAATTCCAAATAAGTTGTTAAAATTGACGCAAAATACTCTTGAGATTTCCATAATATTCTTCTACAAATCTCCATGCTCTTCTTTACCGCTGCAGTCAAAATTCTTGCTGGAATTGAGCTATAAATAGTTGTAAAAAAAATCAAACCAAGTGACCGTGCAAATTGCACAACTTCCTTAAGAATACATGGGGCCAATATGCAGGTGTAAGGTCACGTATTGTACCCGTGTATTGCCTCCCCTGCAAGTTTGCACTTTTCTGATCAGTCTTCAATTTTACTCTGTTCTTGCACCAATTTCAACAGATATTTTCTCAATAATGGAGGTTGAACTATCTCTTGTACAAAACAAGAATGTTGTAGCTCTTTGAGCCATCAATGCATCAAAAACGATCTAATTTGAAGCTCTGGAGTCTAAGAAATGACCAAAATGCCCTTAACTAATCCCCTATTTCAACTTTTGACAGCAAAAATGGCTGACTGTATTTTGACTTTTTAATAAGGAAAACCATGAATGGATTTTTATGTCTCATAATAAATGTATAATTATGTTTTGCCTTCAAAATGACTCAAGAATCACCTTAATCTAATACTTTTAGCTCAAGATATAGCCAAAATACCAAAAGATGTCAAAACTGTCAAATATTTCTTCTTTTATACTTGATTGCATTTCATCTTTTGAACATTTTACACTTTATATTCTCTTTAAATCATTTCAAATCATCAACAATCATCCAAATATCTTCTCATTGCATTCCATTTGATGATTGAATCATTAAAATCTACAAAAACATGAAATTTTTACCATTTGAACACATAAAAATGCAATTTTTCACACTATGAACCACAAAATGCATAATTCACTAGAAACATGAACAAAGGGATAAAAATTACAAAATGCATAATTAAAAAAATCAGAAAGGGATAAAAATTAGTAGTTTTAAAACTGAACAAAAATGATTGTTTGAGTTTTTATTTGTACTGAGTATGGTAAAGAGATTAATGGGTTCGGTTGAATTAGGCATCAGCAGTAGCTACTTATTAGTAGACTTATTTTCTAACAATAAAAAGAACAGATAAGTGCTTGTTTTGCATATATACGTGTGGTTACGTATATGTATTTTAGTGTGTTTTCATTCAAATTCAAGTCAAATAGCCAGGTGTTTAGTTAAGTTTTGCATTTTGGTAGTTAATTGAGAAAATTTGCATTTCTATGGACTTAAGTGCGGAAATTTCATGTTTTTATAGGTTTTGATAATTCAATCATCCATTGAAGAGAAGTGGAAAGATACTTACGTGATTTTTGATGATTTGAAGTGAAAATCATGTGACATGAAGGACCAAAGGATGAAATGCAAGCAAGAAACAAGAAGAAAAGTATTGGCAGCAATGATATATTTTGCTACATTGGCTATAACTTGAGGTAAAAAGTTTGGATTAAGATGATTCTTAAACCATTTTAAAGTTAAGAGGAAGGGCTACAATTCTTATGAGACAACAAAATCCAGTTCTCACGTTTTCATAGTCAAAAGTCCAAATTATTGAAGTGCTTTTCTCCTACAATATTTTCTGACTAGTCATTAGTATTTTGGTCATAATTCAGTCTCCAAATCTCAAAATGACTTGATTCTTTAGCCATGGGAAAGCTATTTCAAAGGAATATAGCTTTTCTATTTTGCACAAGAGCTAATTCAACTTTCTTCATGGAAAAATTTTCATATAATTCTGGACCCGGATTCCTGGACGGATTGTAGGTAGATAGCAGAAGACTAATGAACACCAAAGCAAAATGAGGGATCTGCGGACCTCAAGTCTGGAGATCACCTCGTGGATCCTCTTTGAAGGCTACTTTTGAGCAATTTTTTAGTTGAAACAGGGGAGAAATCTAGCCAACAATCCATCCACGAATTCTCAGCCGAATTTGAGTTCGAGAAAAGCTGCAACTTGGTTAACTTTCACAATAATTGAGCCTTTCCTTTTCCCTATGAATGGGGTTTCTCATGGATGAAATTTCTGGAGA